TTAATGCAGTAATTTCTGCACAAATTGAGACTACACGTATGAATTGTATATGAAAACGAACATATTTGCTGGCAATGCTTCTTTCTTCCTTTTTTGTTTTGCATTCAATCTTTTCGTGTAATATTTTTAGTTCAAACTATTTTTTCTTTATTTTTACAATTTAATTTTTACTCTTTTATTTAGTTGCAATTCGTTTATTTTGTCTTTTTTATCCTTCAAATTCATTTATTTCATTCTCTTGTAATCGCACAAAAATCACAATTTATTCTTTAAATATATTTGAATTAAATATCAAATTAAATTTTCAAAATTTGAAATTTATTCGCTTTCTTTTCAATTTGTGATTTAATCATTTTTATATATTTATTATTTACAAAATGTTCTAATAACTATTAATTTGTATAATAATGCAAGGACTCATTTAATGATAAGTAATGATTAGACAATTTCAGAGAGCAATTTAAAAAGTTAGTTTTGTTATTAATTATTTGAATTCAAAAAAAGAACTGAAGAAGAAAGCAATGAAAAGAGTTTAGGCTTTTGTCACATTATTCAATGTAATGCATTTTGGCTGGTTGAAAAGGTAAGAAAGAAAAGTATTTATTTACTTAATGATTAACTTTTCTAAGATTGCAATCATTCCAGTGCAGTTGATTCTCGTATGTTTACTTAGTTACTTTCAGAGCAATTAATGTATGGCATTATTGTTGTTGGTAAAATTTATCGGCGATATGTTCAAATATAATACTTTTGCAATCTTTTCCGATCATTCACGCCATTCAAACTTGTCTCACGTAGATCAAGTAACAAATCCTGTTTTATGACAAGTGCTCTTTCTTTAAGCTTTTTTTTGCTTTTTCTTTAACGTGCTATTCAACTAAAAATCTGCTAATTTTCATGTCAGTCTATCTATGTATTTTCAAAAAGTATTTCAATCGCTTCAGATCATATTTTTTATTATTCATATAATCAGTGAAAGGTCAGAAATAAGATAATAGTACTTCTTCAAGCTCGTAGCAGAGTCATCATTAGTGCATACATATTCTATTTGCTTAATAAAATAATTTCCATTTATCACATTTTTAATTTAAATCTTCATCTTTTCAATTATTTTTCAGTATGAAGAAGAAGTGCTCTTTTTTTAATTTGGCTATTTGCAAGCATTCTTTCTAATATTTCGATTGCATTTTCTTTGGTTTATAAATGCCACTGAAATTAATCAAAAATTTAATTTTTCTTTTTTATTACTTTATAAGTTTTATATTCATTTCTAAATTACGCCGTTTACAATTTGGTAACTAACTATTCGCTTTCCGCTTTTACTATGACTTGACAGTCTTTGAATTATTCATACTACTAAACACAATAATTATAGATAAGTTTTAATTAAATTTTCTTATCTTTTACAATTTATATTATTAATCAATCATTTATTCAGTTGCTTAATTAGTTAGTTAATAAATCAGTCAATCAATCAATTGATCTCTTTATCGATGCTACTAAATTTGTTAATTCGCATAAATTTTGCATACATTTCAAAGTATGCAGACGTTTTCATTTTCATATTTCTCGGTTTCTTTTCAACAGTAGCAACGATTTGCATTTTCGAAGACGACAATTTGGAGTGAGAAAGCAAATTCAGTGGGTAATGCCATTGGCTCCCTGCTCAGCTGACCCCTGGGAGAACAGCAACTTTCTGCTCAGTACCATTAAAATTGAAGATGTAAGTTAGTATTTCAAAGTTAGCTTTGCTCACAACTTGCAAATTTTGGCTTAGAATTCAATAATACAAGAAATATTGTTTGCTTATTCCAAGTAAGATTCTCTTTTTTGTCTCTAAAGAGTTTACTCTAAAAATCCAAATTATTAATTTAAAAATCGGAAATTCAGTAAATATTGCAACATTTAAAAGTAGAACTTACGTGAAATAAGAAGGAATTTGAATTGCATCTCGTAATAGCTGAAAAAAAAAATCGGATTTAAGAATATTATCAGATAAAGTATATGAGCAGTAATTATAGTTATCATTTCAAAAAGCACGAATTTTTGAGTTTTTATATCTGAAAAATTTGTGATTTGCATGTCTTTACTTTGCATTTTTAATAAATATTATTACAATCGCATACATTTTTAATGATAACATAAAAAGTCAACCCATTATTTTTACATATGTTGCATTTTTTAATTTTCTTTTTGATGAAAACATGTATCAGTTACGTGAGAACTATTATTGACAATATTGTTGCTTTACATAAAGTCGGTGATTAACTTAATAAACCAATGCTTGCTAATATCAGTTATGCTAAATTATGGATGGATATTAGTGGTTTTAAACTATTAAAACAATATTTTAATTTACGAGTGTTATAGCAAAATCAAATTAGTTTTAATTAAAGATTGAAATTAAAATTAATTCAAATAGTAACAAAAACAATAAACAATATTTTAATAGTTTTGTTTTTGTTTTTTTTGATAAAATTTTAAAAAAAAGTGTAAAACAGAAGTTTAAAAGTCGTTGCTTATGCAGTATTTATTTTGATTGTACTAAAAATATACTGAAATATTATGATAGAATGTTTATATTTTCATCTTTGTTTTGTTTTATTCGCAAATTTATTTGCAGCGCTATTCACCACGAAATGATTCAGATTTAATACCGTCAAGAGTCATTGATACTGCTACTGTTAATTCTGATGCAAATGCCATCAGTTGTGTTTCAACAACAACGACCACAACTACTACTTCAGAAATTGAAATTACAGAAGTCGCAAAAGAAGGTGAAAAAGCGGACCCATCACAGTTTGAACTCTTATCTACAATAGGACAAGTAAGCATAATTTTTAACATATCAGTAAAAATTATTCATTTTTATTCAATTACTTATTTTTTATCGTTAACAAATTGCATAAAAATATTTGCTTCATTTTTCTATTTAGGATAATATGATTGTATTTGAATGTATGTTTTTGTGCCTTAATAATTTTAAAATTCTTTGCATATATGTCAAAACAGCTTAAACAATAATCAAATTACTTAGTAAAAATGAAGTTGTATGTTTACAAATTTATGCATAAATTTGCTTTTTTATTTTATTTTATTTTGTTAAATTTACGTATTTATGCGTGATAGCATACTTTATAGGGTTCATTTGGCAAAGTTATGCTTGTTCGAAAAACTCGTGGACGTGATGCTGGCGAACTATTTGCTATGAAAATTTTAAAGAAAGCGACTCTTAAAGGTACATTTGTAATTAAATTCGTCACTGTTGTGTAATTGTATTTTCAGTTCTTGATTAATGCTCTTGCGATATTTGAATAAATATTAATGATATTTGCGACTTGTCATTTTTTTAAAATTATATTAAATTTTAAAACTGTTCATTAAATTTAGTTCGAGATCGATATCGCACTAAAGCAGAACGAGATATCTTAGCTCGATTTCGGCATCCATTTATTGTTCGATTACATTACGGTTAATAAAGTTATTTATTTTTTGTATGCAAATTAAAAAGTATTGCATACAATGATTTATGATTGACCATACTTTTCTATTTTATACTTAATTACTACTTACTACTTAATAACATTATAAAACTTTTGTGCAAAATTTTATTTTCAAAGAAGTTAAGCAGATTACATTCGTTCTTTTCTCTTGAAGCATTTCAAACCGAAGGCAAGCTTTATCTCATTCTTGATTTCCTGCCTGGTGGAGACCTTTTCAACCGTCTCTCCAAAGAGGTTCATTTTTATTAAAAGTAATGCTCTATTTGCAAAGTAGTAAAGCATAGTTAAGTAAAAAATTTGCAGTGATGGATAATGAATGGTTTGAAATTAAAATAATCGTTGAAAGGCTGAAAGAAATCGCTTAATTTGTGTAAAAAAATTTTTTCATTTTACTTTATTATCTTGCTGTTATTTGCCTTATAAATTACAACTTACTTTTTTTGTGTTTCCTTCTAATATATTTTTTAATTTTTGAATATTTAAATTTTTGATTGAAGATTGGAAAGTTTTAGATTATGTTCACTGAAGATGATGTCAAATTCTATTTAGCTGAAATTGCTTTAGCTCTAGGTCACCTACATTCGTTAGGTATTGCCTACAGGGATTTAAAACCAGAAAAGTAGGCTATTCTATTGATATATGATGCAGTAATTTTTTGGTTACTGTAATCAAAAATAATTATATGTAATAGATTACGTTTGAATTGATATAACTGAACAAAATTTTGTCATTTTTTGAAATGATTTCAAATTTTGGTTTCAAATTTGAATACAAAAAATAATGTATATTGCAATATGCAGGATTAATAGTGTATTTTACGTCATTTTTCACTATTATGAACGTAATTCAAGTTGACAGCAGCCTTGCAAAACGATTTTTCGTTAGATATTAGAACAAATTATTGTCATTCAAGCTATAAGTTTGCTAAACTTTACAACATGTTTACCTTTTTATTTACTTATTTAATTTTTTACTAATTTAAAAAAAATATTTTCAGTGTTCTATTAGATGCCAATGGTCATATTAGCTTAACGGATTTTGGACTATCAAAAGAATCTATTGAAAAAGATGGCAAAACTTATAGTTTCTGTGGTACTGTAGAATATATGGCTCCTGAAGTAGTAAATCGACGAGGACACACAGTTGCTGCAGATTGGTGGAGTCTTGGTGTTCTCATGGTAACGTATGTAGATTCTCATTTGCTTGCAAATAACCTGAAGAATAATAAATTATCTTCATTCACGTATCATAAAGATATTTCAGCAAAATTTTTTTAATCTCAGATTCTTTCAGTTTCATTGATGATTTTAAAAAAGTGAATGAATTTAGAAAAAAGGATGCATAATTGACACATATATTGTCGGAAATTAATCAACTATATAGATAGAAATATAATTATAATTCTGTTTGTAGTATGAAATGCTAACTGGTAGTCTTCCATTCCACGGAAGTAATCGCCGAGAAACTATGTCATTAATTTTAAGGTAACAACGCTATTCTGTGATTGCATATTTAGCTCTCAATTAAGATTTCTAATATTTTCATTAATTACTATGACTTTTTTTGAATGCTACATTTATGTAAGTAAATATTATTAAATAGTATTTTGTTATTTAATAATTTTTTATCTTCAGAGCTAAACTAACTATGCCTCGATCGTTATCAGCAGCAGCTCAACACTTGTTACGAGCACTTTTCAAACGAAATCCATCAAATCGTTTAGGCTCTTCATCTGAAGATGTGAAACAAATTAAAGCACATCCATTTTTTGATTCTATCAATTGGGACAAATTGTATCTCCGACAAGTTCAACCACCATTTAAACCTCTTTGCACACCGAGCAATCATACATGTTGTTTTGATCAAGAATACACAAGAAAAACACCTGATGGTTTGTTCATTTGTCTTATTGAATTAACACGGTGTAACATTTTTAGCAATTTTTTTCATTTTTTCAATGATTAAAACTTTTATTTGAAATGTTCTTTTCAAAATTGTTTGCAAATTAACTGTTTATTGAAGTAAACTTTCTAGATTCACCAGCTTTACCGCCTTCAGCAACCGCTCATGAATTATTTCGTGGATTCAGCTATGTTGCTCCAGCTGTTCTTTCTGCTGATAAGCCAAGTGATTGTGCTACTTCTTCTCTTCAAGGAGTGGAGAAAGCATCAATTTTTGATGACTATAATATGAAAGAAGTGAATATTTGAAAATATTTAGTGGAATATTCATGACTGCTTTCAAATTTTCATCACAAACAATGAATTCTTTTGCCACAAATTTTAATTATTCTAACAGTTTTTAGATATCTAACTCAGTTGATTATATCATCCAAAAGCATGATTTTTTCTAAGGTAAATTACGAAAAAGCTGTAAATGAAAGCAGTTTGCTTTCAGAATCTTGGAGTTGGCTCGTTTTCTTTGTGTAAAAAATGCGTGCATAAAAAGACAGGTGCTGAATTTGCTGTAAAGGTATTTTCAATCGACTTCTAAAAAACAATGCCAATAAAAAATGATAATTTATTTTGAATATATATATTTGATGAAAGTCATTTTATTATTAAAATACGAGATTGCCTTCATTTAAAAATTTAATAATTCTTATTTATTTGTATTCTTAGAAACGATGAAATTAATGAGAAAATTTATGTTTTTTTTCATTAAAATTGCAAAAAAGTAAAATAAAAATAAAAATAATTGCTAAAAAAATTTAATACGTAACGATTATAAATAATTAAAAGATAATACTACGATTTGTAATGTGTTTTTTACTGCTCTCAGATAATTGATAAAAGCAAGCGTGACGCTAGTGAAGAAGTGGATATTTTAAGACGCTATTCACATCACGCAAATATAGTAAAGCTATTTTCTGTCTATGAAGACAGTTTGAATATTTACTTGGTGGAAGAACTGTGCAGTGGTGGAGAACTGTTGAATCGGATAATGACTTTGAAGCATTTTTCGGAAAGAGAAGCTGCAGCTGTGATGTTAAGACTTGCAAATGCTATTAGTTACTTGCATTCTAATCAGGTGATCAATTCTGAGCTTTACTTGTGATTTGTTTTATTATTAAGTTTTTTGTTTTTATTCTTAACTACTTAGCTATTTGCGAGTAAATATTAGTAATAATTAATAATTCCAAGCAAAAAAGCATCTTATATATAGTAAAACATTTATTATTCTCTTTAAGAAAAAATTTAAAATGGTGCAAACAAAAAACAAATTGTTGTAAATTAATTATTTAGATGGAAACAAATGAGTATTTGATATAAATTTGATCAAATTTATGATTATTTTATTGCATATTTTAAATTTATTTATAATTGAAATTTTTATTTTGAATACAATTTTATTATTTAACAAGTATTTACTTACTAAATGCTTTTGCTTACTATCATTTGTAATTGTGCAAGTGAATATGTGATAGCATTTAATTATGAAAATATTTATTAGTCTTAATTTTTAGGTAGTTCATCGTGATTTAAAGCCGTCTAATATAATGTATGCTTCAAAAACAGCAGATCCCGATTCAGTTAGAATTATCGACTTTGGATTTGCAAAGCAGTTACGTGCTGAAAACGGTTTGCTTATGACTCCATGTTATACAGCTCAGTTTGTTGCTCCAGAAGTTTTGAAAAAACAAGGCTATGATATGAATTGTGATGTCTGGTCACTTGGAGTGCTACTTTATACTATGCTTAGTGGGTATGCTTTATTTTTTATACTCATCTCATCAAGCAGTCGAGCTTGTGAAGTAATAAAATTGCATGCATTCTACGCATTTTATTTATAAATGTCAACTAAAATATAACAAAAGTAAAAGGGAAAAATTTTGCAAATACCTAAATTTAGAATTATTTTCATCTTTTATTCGATATTTTACAACGCAAAGCACAGATAAACAACGAGACGTAAATATAACTTGTGAATGTTTCTAATATATTAGCTCTTGTAGTAGACTAAATGTATTTTAGTGAAACGCCATTTGCAACAAGTGATGGTGACACACCACAAAAGATTCTGAAACGTGTTGGTGACGGAAAATTTTCATTAAATGATGCTGCCTGGAATAACATTTCGGAGCAAGCGAAGGACCTCGTTCAGTCTCTTTTACACGTAGATCCATCGAAACGTTTATCTGCTAAACAGATCCTTATACATCCATGGATTGTTCATCGTAATTCTCTTCCAACCACGCGACTTAACTTTCCTACTGATCCATCAAAACTGAAGGTGACTTTCAAACGTTGCAGTCATTGTCATCACCATGCAAAAAATAGTTTACCTTAAGAAAGGTTATCAATGTTTGCTTACTTACATTGCTGACCTTTTTTTCGTTCATTTCAAAAGCGTTAATTAGAAACTAAATTTATTAATTAAAGAAAGAGAGCGATAGTTTTTTCAATTTTTAGAATGCATTAAATCAAACGTATCGTGTAGTAACAAGTGGAGCAGTTCCAATTTCGCTTTGTTCTGTAAATGAATCCGCTCTGGCACGTCGCCGACGACTCAGAAGAATGAATAGAATCTCAACAAATGGTGACAGTGTGGAATCAGGCGATTCTTCTGAGCTAACCAATGGATATGATATTGGTACAAGCTGACCACTGCTTCATCTCTTTGTTGATCATCGTACAGCCTAAACTTGCTTCACTAATCTTTTAGATTACATATAAGTTATTCTTGCATGTAAATGTATTTCATGATTCGATTTATTCTCTTTCCAAATGCATTTTCGCTATTTAAAAATTATCATAAATAGTAAGAAGCAAGTTTTACTTCACTTCTGACATTTGTTTTTAATAAAATTCTAAATAGCATTGACTTCATCAGCTTGCATTTAACATCGACAATTATCAAAATCTCTTACGTATAATTTGTTGATTTGGTGCTAAGAAAAACAACTACCATTATTTAATTGTGATCGCCATCACTAGCCATATCTATTATTATTATTATTATTATTATTGTCACTATTATTATTATTATTATTTTTTATTATTATTATTTTTGTCTTTATTATTATTATTATTATTATTATTATTATTATTATTATTATGCAATATTTCATTCTCAAGTATTGTTCAAGAAGATTATGTCTTAAATTTGTACATCGTTTAAATGGTATTGTAAATCTGTTTGAAATGAAGATTATATTGCTCATGAAATTGTTCTCATTCCTGCTTAGTTTCATTAAGCTTCTGATATATTAAGCGTTCATTTATTATTATGAAAGTTTTTTATTTTTAAAAATTTTTAATTTTAATTTAAATCAAATACACCTTTTATTTATTCATTAATTTTATTTATTTATTGTATTTTTATTCTTTTTGAACTTTTACACAAAATAAATTAATAAAACAGTGAATTAATCGCAAATAAGGTTTAACTGAGCATGTTTATGTACTTACATTTATTTTTTACCTATTATAGTCTGTTAATTTTTTTTGATAATGTATGGTTGGTAGATAAATCTCGTCAATTTGGAGTTAATGTCCATACTCTCTCAAAAGTCAGAATTCACCAACTCACATTTTTTCTTTAGTTTTTCAAAAAGTAACAAATTTTAAATAGAATTTCTTTTCTAAAAATTTTTGCTTCTAAATTTTGCTCCAATTTATCAAAAAGTATTGCTGAAATTTTTGAGTGAAAAATAAACTTTAATGAATTAATAATAAATATTATTAAAATTTTTCAAGCAGAAAACTTACTTTTACTTTTGAGAACATTTCATTGAGTTGTAAAACATAAATGAATTTAATTACAGCAAAATCTATTTTTATCAGTAAAGCATTCAATCATCACTAATTGTTATCAGTCACGGGGCATAAAAAATGTAACGTTTATGTTGCAATTTTACTTACGTATTGACATCAATTGAAAAGAAACGTAGCACAGCGAATCACTTTAGCTATAGTTTTCGGTAGGATATTTAAAGAAATTTTGGTAAAAATGTTCTCAGCAGAAGATATTTTTGCTGCTTATGAACGCATTCGAGATTTTATTCATCGCACTCCTGTAATGACGTCGAGTTACGTAGATTCTTTATGTGGCGTACAAGTGTACTTCAAATGCGAGCATCTTCAGAAGACAGGTTCATTCAAAGCACGAGGAGCATTGAATGCTGTATTTTCATTTTTCGATTTAATGAAGTTTTTTCTTTTCAATTCTTTTCCTAATCCTTAAAATTCAAGATAAGCAAATATGGTTATTTTATGTTCCTTATATAAATATCTTAAGTAATTCGCGTGCTAAATCTGAGAGCAAAAAATTTTTTGACTTGCCTTTCTCCAACTATATATACATATATATTGCTGTGGACTTGACAGTAATGAGTTTTTGGATATTTGCTTTATTTGGTTGCTTCAAATTTACAATGATAAGAACCAAAAATTGTATACGTTTAAACTTTTTCAGATTCGCATAATTATTAGTGATGTGAAAAATAATTCCTCGTCTGTGGTCAGTAAACTCTTTCTTTTATCCATTCAAGAAATAAACTGTTCTTTGCTTAGAATTAATCTATTCATTTTATTCTGCCAAATATCATTTTTTTTTTTGACTAAATTTTAAAAATAAATGTTTGGTTCATTTCAGATTCATTTCACTAAATTGCAAAAATATTTGCTTTGGTTTAGATTACTCACAGCAGTGGTAATTTTGGTCAAGCATTGGCCTGGGCAGCTAAGATCAATCACATTCCATGCAAAGTTGTTGCACCTAATGATGCTCCATCATCGAAATTGAATGCTATCAAAGATTATGGAGCTGAGGTTGTGCTTTGTGAACCAAAAGATAGGTAGGAATCTCAAAATTCGGATTAAAATTTTGACTGAGCGTTTATGCAGCTCCTATTTTTTTGCCGAAATTTGCTATAATCTACTAAATTATCTTGTTTTTTTTTGTCTAGAAATTTCGAATACGATAAGAATATTATTTATTACAGTTTTGAATACAGTACGAATACTATGTTTTATGTTATACTGTTGATATAATCATATGATAAAACGGAAGGGAAAGTAATCAAATTGAACATTTTTCTTAAAATCGCTAATGGTATTCATACTACAGATGGTTTTTGTTTCAGAGAGATAGTTTGTGCTAATCTTTGCAATGATCAAGTTGATTTAGTTGATCCTTACAACGATTACAGAGTGATGGCTGGACAGGTACGTAATGCTCTTTTGAATGAAAAAAAAGGTCTGCAAATTTTATTCACCTAAAAATATATACGTGTAGTATCTAAATCTTTTAAACAGCTAAATTAGCATGAAAAGTAATGAATTGAAGCAAAAATCTATAAATGTAAATTAGTAATTATTTAATGTTTTTTATATATTTTGGCATAAAAAATTGACCTTGTATACAGTGATATGACATTATAATTATATGTCTGATAGTTAAAATGGCTTATTTGCATTTTGTTTCCGTGTGATTATTGCTAAAACTGTAAAATGAATAAGTATGAATATTCACATATGCTTCATTTTTTGAACTTTATGAACATATTTATTTAGGACGAAGTCAGTTTGTGGACAGCATGAAAATTTTTCGTTTTTATTTTGACTTTTTTTAAGGGTACAATAGGAATTGAATTTTTGGAACAGGTTCCGGACCTGGACATATTATTGCTGTCAGTTGGTGGTGGTGGTTTTTGTTCAGGAATTGTTGTTGCTGCTAAGAAAATTAAACCAAACATTAAAGGTTTTTTAGTTGTGTTACAATAATTAAAGACAAGTTTGCATGCTTCTAATTTTTAATTGATCCAGTCTTAAGTGATATGTAATTATGCAAATTTTGTTATTTTAAGTTTACTGCGTAGAACCTGAAGGAAAAAATCTGCAGTACTCATTGCTTCAAAGAGAAAGATCTTGGGATTCTGATGCAGCTCCTGTGAAAACAATTGCTGATGGAATACGAGTATTACGAATTGGTGAAAAATGTTTTCCACCCATTCTTGAATTATGCGAAAATAAAGTTTTAACAGTAGTAAGTATTACTATCTTTTTTCGGCTGTTACTTCCACTAAACTTTTTTAAATTGGCTTGTTTGTATTTTTTCCATATGATTATTTCACTTGCAGCAAGCATTTTGGATGTTATTTTTTCCTTATACTTACAAATTTGCCTTGTGCTATGTTTTTTGATGAATTGTAGCATAGAAATTCGATATTATTCATCAAAAGACAATTTTGTACTGTAAATCAAATTAACGTTACATGCAAAATACAGTACGCTGACCGGTGTGTGAAAAACTTAACTTGCAATTATACTAGAAAATTTCAGAATGATGGAGAAATTATTGAAGCGATGAAACTTATTTACAGCAGAATGAAGGTAGTTTGTTAAGAAAATTTGAAAATCCTCCATATGTTATGTGTTTAGAAGGTGGGAATCGAAATTAAATTTCAGCAAGCAATCGAACCGACTGGAGCAGTCTCACTGGCTGCATTACTCAAATACAGAGATCAGATAATCACTGAAAATCGGAAAAAGATTGGTCTCGTTTTTTGTGGTGGTAATATTGATTTGGAACGATTGTCAGCTTTGTTTCAATGAAGTTCGATTCTGATTCTGACCTCCTTCTACCGATTCTGATTCTGACCTTTTTCTTTGTTGTTACTATTAATTTACTAGCATTCTGAATAGATTATAATTTGCATGATTTTCATTGCATTTTTCGTGTTTTAACAAGTAAACGACTAAAATTTTTCGATGTGGTATTGTTTTGTTCTGTTTTCATGATAAAGTATTCAATTAAATTGAAAGAGTCATTAATCCATATTTAAAACTTTGGACAAAAATTGTGTATTAAGTATGCGAATATCTTCATAAATTTAAGAGCTGTATTAAAATTCCAAAGTAAAAATGTACCAGTATAAACGACATCCGGTATTTATGACATAAACAAATGAACAAAATGAGCAAACTAATAGAATAGTTAGTTACTGAGCTCATTATAAGATGGAATCCTCAAATTTGAATTTAAGACGATTATGTCTTCAAAGGATGGAAGAGAATCAGTTTAGGATTATATTCTCGAAGTAGTTTTTAGTAATTACTAGTTATTTCAGAATATTATAGTGGTAGTCATTAATTTTCTTAGATTAAGATTTAATTAAAATATATAAGCATACTGTTAGATTACACATCTTCAACCTTTTTGATCTAGAAGGGAATATAATTTTTCTAATTTAGATTGACTAAAATTACTCCCAAAAATATTTAAATAGACAAAAATAGACTAAAATTACTCCCAAAAATATTCAAATAGACAAAAAATAAAGTTAATCCATAAATGGGCAACTATTGAGGAGAACTTTGTTCAATTTTTTGGCATTTCTGAGGGCTATCGATTTTCCGTACATTTGAAGATTCCGATAACAACCAATCAGTGACAATACTCCAGTTTTTGACGTTGATGGAGCTAAAAAATAATGCATTATTTAAAAATTATATATATACACACGAGAAATAAACTCCTATTTTGTTGTACTGTTTTCCAGTTTTAAGAGAACTGTACACTTGTCAATTATTACTACTGTATACAAATAATGCTTAATTACTGTATCAAACAAGCTCGCATGTGAAAAAAAAACTCGAAACATATAAGCAACCTGTAACTCCACCGATGTATATTGGCAAACTTCTGAAAAACTCCACAGATTCAGAACTCGCTTTCGAAAATAAACGCTCTCGGTGCTGAAACCGAATTTGCAAAGTAGAAAAAAATGCTGTTTTTTGTTCAGGCACACAAGTAATTTCTTATTTAAGAGTAAAGATCTAACAATTAAGTAATAGTGTACAGTTTACCGTATCTATAGTGATAATAACTACATGCGAGTGTGATATGGTAAGTGAAATATTGTGCCAATTACCATCACATAAATCTTGCTTAGAAATATATCTCAAATCATGACGTTCATCATCGTAAACAAGTTCAAAAGTCACCTAAAACATTTCGATTTGATCACTGCAAAGTTGCTTTGAAAACATTAGCACTAAACAAAAGAAATGACCACAGGTCAGACTATTAAAAAAAAATATGAAAATTCTCAAAGAACAATGTTTTGAGTAATAGAATGGTATCTTGTACGCAAATAATCATATCAGCAATAAAATCACTGATTGATCAGTAGTTAAATTACTACTTCAATTACTTTAGTTAAATTACATCAGTACATTTAGTTAAAAAACAATAGCTAAATTACTATTTTTACATTTTGAAATTTCAAAAAAGTATTGGCGGAAAAATTAATGAAAAATAAATACTTTAACTCAAATTAAAAGGTTTTTTAATAAGAAAGCATACAAAGCCATTTTTAAGATAGATCGAAATTCGAGCATTTTCTGAATCTTTAGTAGTCATTAGACCGAAAATGAGGCCATCTCCCACAGCAGGACGAACTTGCACAGAAATATGAATACTTTCACGCTGACTAGCAGTTTTTAACGACCCTGTAAATAAGTACGGTATACGTTTTACATTTAATAATTCAACAGATCTTTTCGTTTGAATTTTTAAGTTGTACACAAATTGAAAAGAAATTTAAGCCTGGACTAATCAAAATGTGTTATCGAGCTTAAACTAGTTTGACAGAAATAAAAAATATTAATAGTAGTTGAAAAATATTTCAGAAAAGTGTTGTTTAGTACTAATTTTCTCACTTTTACATTGCATGACTTTTATAAGCACAATAATTCAATAAAAACGACATACAGTACCTTTTTTATGTGCTACATACAGTTAATCAGCGTAAAAGATTTATTAGTTATTTTAAAAAGTAGCATAGAATTTTGTATCTAAGATATTTAGTATCAAATCATGAAGTGCTGCTGAACTTCAGTAACTACAACTGTAAACTAACCAAAAATCATATATCCGCCTTCATGAACATATGCTGAAGTGGAACTAACTGTGCATGGCAATACATCACGACTTTTTTCTAACAAATCTCGTTGAATATTGTTTACCTCAAAGTTTCTGCAAATCACATATATTATTATTATTTTTAACAATTCATTCATTTTGAACTACAAAAGATTATTAAAGCTACTAGAGTGTAATGGTCAAAGTGAAAATTTTTCCAACCATTTAATGACAAATTCAACATTTCTTGCATAACTTCAATTGGTAGCTTTAATAATATTTTTGTAGTTCAAAAAAGTATTTTTAATTAAAATCTCTGCATTCTTTGCTAGTCTTCTTTATTATTAGTAGTGACCTGATGCATCCTGAAAATGGTGGAACTGTCAAGTTAAATTGTTTACGATGTCGTGAAATTACCCCTCCAACATACATCCGTTTACGCATCACTTTTGGATTTGGTGCATCTTTCATGTACTGTGCTGCATTACGATCAACCTACAATAGCAATTACTATACAAAAAATACGCTTATTAAATCCAATATATGTCGTTTCGTGAGATGTGATTGAACAATTACTGTAAGCTGTCAAGCAATAAAATAAAAAAATTCAAATATAAAATCTACAAAATACTGTCGGAATAATTTGATAATAGTACCTTTACAAGAATTTCTTGTTCTTGCTTTAACACATTCACACTATGCCATTTTCCATCATTCAATTTAGCTGATTTATATATCATTATTTTCGGCTCATTACGTCCTCGAGCCTTTAATTGTTAGAAACTTGATAATATTTTTCATTCAAGCGGCAAAAAAAGATTTATAATTACGACTTCTACATCTATGTAAGTAAGTAATCTATATAAATATTATAAATCCATACAAAAAGATTTTAGTATAAATTTTCACACCTCAAACTGCAACAATCCGTTGATTATGTTTAATTGAAAATAACGTGTGTAATTATTATAATTAGCCCAAATCCATAGCATTCCGTTTGATAACATAGTGCGGAATGAAAATGCAAGTTTGAATCTGTAATTCATTCATTTCATTCAGTAATTATTCATAATTACATATAAAAATGAAATATAACAATGATTAATTTTTGCAAAATGAAGATTAGGCTCAAAAGATTGGGCTTACTGGTTCACGTCTGGATAATCACTCTCGAAAATGAGTCTAGAATGACTTGCTTCAGCGAGCCCGTATTGCACTGCATTTTCTCCATCTTGCTCAGCTAAACGATTTGTACCACACTGCAAACTTTCCTTCATTTTCATTCATAAATTCATTTAATACTTCTATTTTTATATTTTTTTTTGTTCGTTCCAATAGAATATTATTCCTGCGTTGATTTCACGGAAGTATATCTCAATAAATTGTGTAGTCAGTAAAACTGTGGAAGAGTAAAATATAACCTTTTTCGGATCGAAATCTGAGTTATCATCGAAATTAGAAAGGCTGGTATTTTTGACTGTTGATTCAATGGTAGTCCGACTTATAGTGAAAGTAGAAGCTTCAGATTCTTCCGCTTTATTCACTTCTTTTTTCTCATCTTCCATAGCTTCTTTTGTGGATTCTAAACCTTAAGGACATCATCTCTCGTAAAACAAATGATAAAATTTTAAGCTTTTTATGCTATGAATTATAATTAGCAACGCATTTTAGTAATATACAACAGCAAAACTTCAGCATCTATCCATTCTGAAGAATATAATAATGAAGCATTCTTTAGATTTTAGAAATTTTAAATTCATTAGAAAATGAGACTATTGGCGAAATGCTGTAACTTCAGAGATTAAAGAATCAAGTTAACATTAGCAAAATTGTGTTCATTTCTGTTTAAACTCTTTAAGAATGCAAGTTATTTCTTCAGAAATTTACTTACAGCTTTTCAAGTTCAAACTTTCAAGCAAAATAAAGTTTACTGAGAAGAATGAGCATTAAAGATAGTACTGCAGATATTTTGAAAATATTTCTATATTGTAGCTCTCACTTGCAAAGATTTTAAAATAATTTTCCAAGTAAAAAAATTAGTATTCTGTATTCTTTCAAAAATTATTACATTTATTCCTTAATTACTTCATCATTTGATAACAAATTTCTACGTGAACCGAAGGAATTATAGCAAAAAAAATCTGACACCCAAATTACTTATATCATTATCATACCATCTGCATGCAAACGATCTTTTAAGATGGCAAGTGTTGGTTCACTGTGGTGCAAAGCAAGTTTTGACGCTTTCTGATTGAAAACATTTTCTTCGTATTCTTGTAGTGCTTCTGAATGCACTGCATGCTCTACAAAAGATATGAAAAAAAAAGAGTTGAACGTATTAGTATCTTTGATAAAATAATAAGATTTACAGAGTTGTAAGAATATTTTATACAGACAATCAACACAAACTGTAAATATATAAACAGTATTAATCAGAAGCTTAAATCATTGGGATTTCCAATTCCTTAACATGAAAATAATTCGTACAGCTGCTTGGAAGCAAAAGATTAAAAAAAATCAAAGCTTAGGAATCAAATTAATTAAGTATTATAGCAAATGCTTTATATTGGTACATGACAAGAAGTACCAGAAGCTTTTTATGCTAATTATGTTCACTTCTTCTTGTAAATCTCATATTTAAACTTCATCTATCTCTTTCTTACTGTAATTACTGCCAAGCGCAAATAATTTTCATCTCTAAATTATTCTATTCATTTGAATATACTTTTAAAATTTGGGATCATAAATTGAATTACTCGTGAACAAGATGAAAATATTAAAACAAAGTTTGATAATAGCAGTATCATAGATAGTAATAGCATTTTTAATTTGGCTGCAAAAATAAACTCAATTACCTGATTTTTGAGATGAGAAAATTTGTTCTACTGGACAAATGCCAATTAAAGCCTTGTGCATTTCAGGAATTATTGAAACAAGTCTAAAATTGGCTCAGTGAATGCTAGGAATCCAATTGTACAAGTTTTAATTGTATCAAATTTTAACAGAAATAAGCATTTAGACAGGAAGACTAAGAAATTTACCAGCTAGACAATATTCAATGACTTTGTCACTTCTTATTACAGTTTATATATATTTGTAAGACTAAGACTAAACTCTTCTTGAGTGAATATTAATTACACTTTTATTTAAATGAAAATAATTCAGTTAAGTTCTAAAGAAAGCTAGCTATTAGTTTAGGAGTGAAAAAACAAAGTGCATTTATTTAAAAATTTATTTGCAGCACAACTTTGCCTGATCAAAGCCAAGACTTGATTTTCAGAAAAATCAACAAAAACAAGCAAAGTTCTTACTGAAAATCGACAAAAATATTCGCTACACATCCAATCATAGGCTCTGCAACAGGCATTTCATTAGCTGATGGCTTTACGCGATCCGGAAATCCACCAATAAAAAGCTGTGATGATATGCTTCCGATTACATTCTGATCTCCGAGTGTACCAGAAGCTACTTCTCGGTCATCAACTCGAAGTCGAACTCTGCGCAAAAATCTTTGATTAACACATTATGCATCAAATGCAAACATTTGCGCCTCATTGACAGCATTTCTATCATAACATCACATCTGCTTTGAAAAAAATTTTTTGAAAAAGAAATGAAGTTAAAATCATCAAAAAAATCAAAAAATTAAAGGTTTTTAATGTGACTATCAGCTACTACGCGTTATAAAAAAATATTTTAAAATAATCTTTATTAAAAAATTTGAAAAAACTTACAAGGTTTCAAAACGAGTAAAGAAAACAGAGTGCAGTTGTCCATCGTTATATGTTGTTTCTGATCTTAAAGTAAGCACCTTACTTTTTTGGGACGAATCGGTACCGAAATGAACTACCAAGTAGCCACGATAAAGATAAAATGCCAAGTAACCCTGTAATATTTTTAATTCTGGATGATTTTATTTTTGCTTCTCTTAAAACAAATCCAAAAATTTTTTAAATTGAAATTTTTTTTAGAACAAACTAAGTTTTTCGTTGTTTAAAAAAGTGAAGTTCTAGTAAAGAATTTGAAAAAACCAACGATTCCATCGGAATGTCTGATTTTACGAAGTTTTTGAGGTGCTTTCAGCTCGCTTGACTGGAACAATAATGTAGCATTTGCAGTTTTTGTTCGAAATGCAAATGCTAATCTTAAAATCAAAGCATTACTTTGAATTCTATTAAAAGTAAAAGCAAAAAATAATTTCATATTCTAAAAAGTTGTCAACTTTTGCTAATGGATAAAATTAGAATTAGACTTTGGGATTAAAATTGTTGCCTTTAAAATATACCAAAATATAAATTATAGAACTGACATAGAATTATCCGTAAGTTGTATACCACGAAGTACTAGATAGCCTGGATGAATGAATCCAACAACTCGATCAGTTGGCTCTAACCTTTCATCACTGTTAAACATGCATCCTCGTAATTTACGCTGCGAACGAATGGGATTATCAAGATCCAGTTCTGCTACCTGTTACAGTTCCATATTTTATACTTTTATACTGTACGAGGTTAAAATAACTGTCTAAATTAAAAACTTTTTAAACTGATCAATAGTGCAAAAGACGAGTAGTTGATTCTTAAATCGTTATTGTATGTTTTTGAATACAATTCTAAAATATTCCTTTACTTTTTATGTTACAAAAAAGAAACTTGCCCTTTTTTTTATAAACTGAGAACAAAAATAAATTAATTTCTAGTTAAAAAATGATTGGAAATGAATGAAACTAAGAACCTGAGAAGGCCGAACAGATTGAATGCAACCGAAAAATCCACTCCAATGAATATGAAATCGTCGGAAAGACGTAACATTGAAATCTGGCGGTATGCCACCAACAAAATGATCGTCACCATTGATATTTAGCATTGTATTTTGACCTGGTATTATCTCTAAGGAACGATCACTTTCACTGTCAACCTGAAATTACAAAACAGAAACTTTTACATCTCGTATATATTGCACTAACCAAATTTTTCTAAGCATAACTTAAATTTACGAGAATACTTGATATTGTATAATTTAGCAATACAATGATCCTCTATAGCAAGTATCAATTTAAAAAGATTTTCAGGTGTGAACGAATTTTTTAAACTTATCAATCAAAAAGCTAACTTGTAGATGGATTTTATCATAATTTCTTATGGCACGTATTGTATGTGAACGTCCATCAGCATATGTTGATTTTTTTGATTTGACCATTGCATATGATTCATTTCCCAAATTAATCTGTGGTAAAACATTTTTTCAATCCTTTCAAACAAAAATTCTGCTTTTACTGACTTCTTAGAGTGAAACATACAAATTCATAGAGTAAAATAATATCACAGTAGCTGGCAAATTGTATGAATTTTCTAAAATATTCATTGAAATATCGTATTTATACAGTTTTTTTTCACAATCTAATCAAAAATAATGTTTTAAATTTAAACAAAAACTAGAAGCGGCAATCACACAGAATAAAATTTGTCTATATTAATTCAAAAAGATTACGATTACAGTTTTGAAGCTAAAAATCAAATAAAACATGTAAATAATTTGCTAAATTCAACAAATATTCAAGATGAAAATGATAGTTAAATTTAAATTCAAATTTAATAGAAGCTACAGAAATACCTTGAAGAGAACATGTCCTTCCCGAAGCTCTAAACTGATGAAGTCACCATTCATTTGACTGCCTCGGAAATACAGCAAGCCATCAGGTGAGTAAGCTGAGAAAATCACAGAAACTTGCGCACCACTTGGTCTTTCTGAAGAGGGCAGTCGAACCTGAGCAAAACCATTGCTGAAAATATAAAAAATCTAAATTCTTGCAGCAAGAGGCATTTAATAAAATCTAATCTTTTCTAAATTTCTACAAATAAATTTTGTAAAGAAATTAATATTGCTATGGTATTAATAATTAATATTTGTACGTTCTTTATTTACAATTAATTGTTCAATGTAGTAATAAGCTGATATTTGCCACAAGTATAAATGCAAATGCAAAACTTGTAAGCAATGATGAAAGGTAAAAAAATTACCGGAACATATATCCAAGAGCCTGACTTTCAGGTGCCGCGAAATCCCCCTCACAAGTTCTGCTACTTTTCGCAAATGCCCAAAGTGGCAAACTTTCTCCGTCAACCGTAAATTCGCCAATAGTACCAAAGAATTTATTGGTGGCTAGCCCAAGTTCTTTTGAAAGTTCTTCGTCAACACCGAATTGTATCAGTGTTTCACCTGGCACAGTGTTGAAGATAACATTATCAGATTCATCAGGTTGACCTACTACAACAGTAGTTGGCTCACCAATTGTTCGCTCACCCTCACCACTTATTGTATGTTTGAGTGATACGGTCAACGTTACTGAATTTCCAAATCTGAATAAAGCATTACTGATGATTTGAACATTTTTTGAAAATTTATGAAGCATAATTAGTGTAAAGAATTTTTCTTAATATCTATGAAAAACATTTTCTGTATGCAAAATCAAGGGATCGGCTAAATTTGATTAAATACTCCTTACCTTTTTAGCATAATGTGATACCAGGAGGTACGATCACTTGGTGCAATGTAATTAATGGTATGTGTATTGGTAGCCATTCGAATTCCTGCACCGATGTCCCACTGGACAACAATACGGCGATTCCGTAATTCCATAGTAATGTATTCTGACTGTTGTGTACGTTTGGCTTTTGTTTTCATTAAAAATAATAAAGAATCAGGTACATCACGCAATGGACGATACTTGATAGTAAAAACATTTGATGGTGCCATCTGTGCAGGAGAGACAAATGCTCGATGACAGGTGCCCTCTTCATCAGATTTCATCGAAATTCGAATCTAAACTCAAAGAGTTAGATTATTTCTCTTTTAATCGAAAGAAATTCCTCAGCTTTCTTATTTCTAACCTTTAAAAATCTTTCTTAGATAGCAAAAAATTATGAAAATTAATTTTAAAGACATCTGTGAATATTCTAAGCTTTCAATATTCAAATATTCTAAGCTTCCAATATGTAAATATACAGTGGCATTCACTTAATCTTCACTAAATGATCTGCACATTTTGATCCAAAAAATATTGAGATTGATCAGCGCAAGATGGAAACTTATTGCAGCCATAACTGAATTAACTAAATGATTTATGCCATTTGATAAATTAGCATACTCGAGATGCCTTCTCTCGTGCTTCTTTGATTTTTTCTTGAAGTAATTTAATCTGTTCACCCAGAATACTGATTCGTTTCGAATCTCCATCAGTTTGCTTTTTTACTTCAGAGACTTTTTTCATAGCTTCTTGCGCTCCTCGATTAGCTTCACGCACTGAAGTTCAGCATATGTGTGACGACATGAACAAACTTTAGGATTCTTCGAGTGATTAGAAATATGAATGTAACTGACTTTTTTGTCAGATAATTAAGAACGAGAAAAGAAGCAATTTTAATTTACTGTATAAGATGTTGCAGATAAGAAATTATTATTCAGAAAATAAAGTAGTTCAAGTTCAAATATTGCTATATAATAGACAAGAAATTATTTGACCATTCCTATCAACTTCGTATGCATGTTACAGTCCGACATCAAACTAATAGTTCTTATACTTTGATATCTTACCATCATCAGTAATATTTCGAATGCCTTCACCAGCGAAACCTTTAACTTTTGATACAGCATCATTCATGGCATTAACTTCGGTAAATATTTGCTGTATGCTTTGATGAACTGCTTTGGATCGTTTCTCGGAATCTTCAGCTACACTCATCAAACCCATCATTCGATCATGTTGATCATCAAACGTCTGATACTGCTCACCTATATTAGCTGACTTTTCAAGATGCAAAGTAAAAATTTCAGATTAAATCAAATTCAGAATTGCAAAATGATGAATATAAAAATAAATACTACAAAAAAAATTTTTTGTAGAGTTTTAATTACTTAAATCTATTGCACTACTTTTGCTACAGTACAGTCATTTCTGAAATTAATCTGGCAAAAAATTTTTTTCATACAATAAAGAACTGCTATAATATGCTAACACATCATATTATTTGTCATCAATTTCTGTAATCAAAAATATTGCTAGCTTACTTATTGCTAGTTTTCGTTTTAAAGCATTCTGCAATGTTTCATTTAGCCTGGTTATTGCCATTTTTGCATCAGAATGTTGCTTCTGCAATTCCTTCAGGCTCAGTTCATTAGATTCATGCTCAATACTGATACTACCATTTTTAGCTAGTATTGCTTCATTAACCATCGATGTTTCTGATTTGGGATCAGCATCTACGTATGCAAATTCTGCAGCTTTCTTTGCTTCTTCTGCTGCTTTACTTGCATTTCGTAAAGCTTCTGCTATTTCTTTGTAAGCGTTAGATGCTCGAAGTGGATCAGCTGCTGCGTTTTTGGTATCAGCAAAAGAGCTGGAAAGGCGTACAAATATTATTAAGTGAAAATTTTCATACAAAAGTTATAACTTAAAATCAAGATAGCTTTTTTATGTATGGCATGCAGAAACTGTATAAAAAATGAACAAAACAATATAATCATTATAATCAATATATACTGACTTTCTGAGTTTGATCGCTTCTTCGTCAAGTTCACTTGCGTGATGTTCACTAGCTTCAACATACTCCCTATGATATTCATCCAGTAATTGTCCATATTTGTCTGCTTCTGCACGACACCTACCCGTTATTTCATGCAATTGTGGTAATAATGTTTCATTGATATACTGTAAAATTGAATGACATGGAATCAAACAGTATAAAAACTTGACTTCACAGACTGAAACTTGGCCCACAATTTTCATTTGCGAACGAAAAGAAAATTTTAATTAAAACTAATTTTGAGATAAACTAGGCGCAAAAAGAAAAACCTTGAAATCATCAAATATATTCAAGATTTTTTCAGTTTTGGCTACAGCCACTTCATTTTCTGCTTCACTCAATTCATCTGCTGCCTTGCCTAGCAATTCGGTGATATTAGCTTTTACTGCATTAAAGCGATCCACTCGTTTTGCCACAACAGCTGAAATTTTATCCGCAGAAATAGTATCTTGACGAGCACTATCCCAAATAGTATCTCGATAATCATCAAGCCATTGGGTGAAATCGTTTAAACGTTCACGTAATTCCACAAAGGATGTATCGTTTAACGCGTGTGAAGTGATTAATTTCAACAAATCTTGAGCTTTCCTAGAATTTAACTTTTGTCTTTTCTACTGGATTAAGACTACAGCAAATTTCAAATTATGCACAACTAAATTTGCTTTTAACATTTTTTCAGCAGTAATTTCTTGAAAAACAAAATTAATTTTTGCATGGAAAGTTTTTAAACTTGAAATGTTATCATGAAAATAGAGTAATATTGCAAACATCCTCACTCTGAATCAGTATTTCCACGATTATAACGTTTTTCAATGTACACTCCGCGATCTTTCACAGCTTTCAGCAAATTATTTGAGTCGTTGATCCAAATACTGATCTGTTTACTATCTTGCTTGCCAAATCCATATGCTATATAATGTCGAAGCTGATCAGCAACTTCCCGAATTATTTTATCTTTTTCTTGAATTTTGTTTGATAATTTATCTGTTTTCGTAATTAGTGCTTGAACCGCACTTTTCGATTTATTACTTCTTTCGTGTAGAAATGTTGTTTGTTCCAACAATGCATTTATTTCGCTTAAAAAATCATCTTCTACGCCTATCTTAGCCTTAGATGCATCTTTGTCCTCCACACTTCCTTCCGCATATTCTGAATCAACGATAAAACGCAAATCTGAAAACAACTGCTTTCATTTCCGAGTCTTTTGTGAGATGAAAATCTATTCCGCAGTTTCGTCAATCTCTACTATTCAATAACATTCATAATTTTTTACCAAAATAATTATAAATAAACATTCTGCTGCTCCACCACTACAAATAATTTTTTGGTAAAAATTTTCGCTATTTTCAAACAAAACTTACTTTTTGTAGTATTACTGATTCTGGCAACACGTTTCCATGGAACTGGTCGTAAATTTGTAAAGTTCTGTTCTGCCATAATTATTTCCAATTCATCTATATCGTTCATCAGATCAACAGTACAACCTTGATCACATGAAGTACAAACGCCTTGAATAAATGCATGTCGAGCTTTGCACAGAGAACAATCCCGACCAGTTACACCTTGTTGGCATTCACATTGTCCTGTTACCTGCAAAACCATATCATACCTAAAATTTGTTGCTTTTCTCTAAGAATATTAGTTAATCTTACTAATACTTTCAATTTCAATAAATTTATTTCATGCACATTTTTTATTCTTTCATTAAATATTTTTCAAAAATCCGTATAAAATACTAATATAGCACTGAAAATTTCTTCCGACTTCTCAGAAAATTTATTATAATTCTGGAAAACCAAACAGCAGTAAGAAATTGGATTGGAGAGAGCTACAGTATGGTATTATTATATTACCGGATGACATTTTCCATGAACGGAGCCGTATTCATGACATGCACATTCTTCACATGTACCATTTACTTCATTGGGGTCACCGTAATAACCTGTAGAGCAAGTTTCACAGTATACGCCAGTATATCCTAGTTTGCAAGCATCACAAATATATCCACGTCCTTGATTTGTACCTACGCACGTGTCGCTGAAGCTATTTTCGAGCAATGGACAAGCACACTTTGAACATCCATTTATATCACCCACTAATGCATCTCCGTAATATCCTGGCTTGCAAAGCTCACAATAATCACCATAGGTATTGTGCTCGCAGTTCTACAAGTCATAAAAAATTTCTATATTACATCCTTAGCCCATGTAGTTGTTTAGAAGATGGCGATATTTTTTGAGCAGTTGACTTCTAAATGACATAACGTACTAAATTTCCTGCTAAACTTTCTCACTCATTTATATTGGGCTTTCTAAGGCGTTAGATTAATAAAATTGTGATGAATCTCACAGTGCATCGACAAGTTTCCGCTTCGCAAGTTGAGGAATGTCCATTACATGCACATGGCTGTGGTCCCCCAACTAAAGCTAAATCATCGACACTATTTAGGAAATCCGGTTGTCTCTTCCGGCAGTAGCCCTCCGCGGGATCTTGACAGGAATTCCCAGAATAACCTTGAGGACACTCACATTGTTCTACGCCAATTGCCATTTTACTCATTGCATCAGTAGCATTTTCCCACACTGCAACATCCATACTTGTCTCGTGAAGGGATGCTGTGTCACCGCTACAAAGTAACACTATTACTGTTTAATAATATATTTTGAGTCGATTAATCAAAAAATTAACTTTATTATTGGTGTAAAAATTTTGCATCTATTTTAGTTTTAAACGAAAAATTACAAAATTTTACGTGAATGGATAATTATAGGTTGCTCTAATGTAAATGGCTTGCAGATTTTGCAAAGCAATCATTAGTTGTTTACGTGTCACGGGAACTTCAGGACTTAATCGAGAACGCCATTGACTTTCATGCAATCGAACTTTATAACGGCCCATTTGGTTCACTTCTTGAGGTAAATGTTCCAAAATTATGCGATGATTACCAACCTAACAAAATTTGTCTGAATTTTGATATCAAGGAAAAGAAAGATAATAATTTTCAATTTTGAAATTTAATGAAATACCAATTTTAAAATGTGAAAAGATTGTTTACCAAAATAACTTGAGGGAAAAAACGGAAGTGTTTCACATCAGGTAAGACATTTTGTATTTTGCGACGATTATCATCATTTTTGATAGAAAAACGGATAAAACCATTGTAAGATGTCGTACGATCACCTAAGAAACTACGTGGAAGTGGCCTAAAATTTATGCATTGCATTCACTCATTTTTGAAAATTCAAAATGGCTAAGTGCATTTTTTTTTAACCTTAACTCCCAGTAAATTAGTAATATCATTGTTTCTGATATACAGAAGCATAACAGTTAAAAATAAAACGACATAAATGCTACCAGAAGTTAGACTTCGTTCAAAAAATAGCACACCAATCAATCTTGTAAACTATCAATTTTTGAATAATTTTTAGTATATAATTGACTCTAAAGTATACCAATAAAGTGGTGTGATATCTGTTGGATAACTGTTATATGTTGCTGGATATTCTTTCAGTACGTTCACGTTATATCTACGAGCATAATATTCCCACGGCTCTGAGAAAGTAACCTAAAATTTGTAAGTGCTATTCTTCACACAGCTGCCGTTTTAATCAGTGAATGCAAATCCTAGCGTTTATGATCTGAATTTTATCACTTTTCATGCATCGAATATATTGTGATAAATAATCAAAATTAATAGTTACCTGACGGTCTGAAGCATAAATTTGCTGCCAGATAAAGCTTCCTTGCACGCAAAAATTAGTACGATTAAAGCAAAAGCAATCCGTGCAACCGAATTCATTACTTTCATCTAAGCTAAAGCTATAAGCGTCACAACTATCGCATTTCAATCCTTTTACATTTTTCTGAAAAACATTCATACTTTTATGTTAGTTGCCTTTTTTGAATACCTAAAAAATTTCTTATTTTGAATTATCCAAAGAACGCAAATTCCGAATTGAAAGAACAACCAGATGGAAATTTTGAAAAAAATTTGCATATATAAAAATACCTTGCAGGTGCATTGTCCTTGGTCATCGCATATACAAGAATTATCCTTGCATGTAAAGGGGTCAGTCCCTGCACGGTCACAATTACAAGGTTTACATTTTGGGAAATTGAAATAACCATGGATACACTGATCACACTTTAGGCCGACAAAACCAGTTCTACATTGGCACTACAAAAATATTTTTGTATATATTGCAAAAAGAATAGGTCGCGATTTTTTTGAGCATTACAAACCTGCCCATTTTCGGGATTGCAGTTAGGACCATCTGCTCCAATATCGGAACACTCACATGGTATACAACCTTTCAATGCGTCGTAATTCCATGAACTTAGACTACAGTTCTCACACATTTCACCAACTGTATTTGGTGGACAAACACATTCCCCATCAATCGGATCACACACATGACCAGGTGCTGGACATTCACGGCATTCTGAAAAAAAAAGCATATATTAGAAATTTATCTCATCATAAATGTGTGACAATATTCAAAATTTCTACTTTTGGAATTTCGAGAAAGTTTTTTAATGTGAGAATGTTTGCGTATTAGAGTACAGAAAATATACAAACCTTTACAACCTGTTGAATCTAACCCAAAATGATTTGGACTACATTTATCACACTTAAGACCCGTTACTCCAAACTTACAAATGCACTGGCCAGTATCTGTATCGCAATGAATGCCTTCTGAACCCAATGGATCGCAACCACATTCCTAAGATTTTCCTTAATAAGTAGCAGTAAGACATGAAAAAAAAGCAAAAGCAACTCCCTAACAATTGTAATATTTGAGCAAATTTCCTAAAACTTAAGACTTATCAAAGTAGGTAAAGATGTGGTGAAAATAATACCAGACAACCATTTCCGCTTGAGATGTTAAAGTAACCATCCATACATTTTTCACACATTTTTCCATCAACATTTTGACGACATTCACATTTTCCGGTGATATTATCACATCGGCCATCATCTACAGCACCAAATGCATTGCAGTGACAAAATTGGCAACCATTTTCGGAGAAATTAAAATAACTCGCGCGGCACATACTGCACTGCTTCCCAAACACTCCCATCTTGCAAGCACACTGTAATAATATTTGACTTCCACTTCTTCACGTTTATTGATACGCGTGAGAATTACCAGATGTAGAAGATAGAAGTGCTTTTGTTAGATTTTAAAAATAAATAATGTTTTAACTGAGCTTGAGATCGAAAATACTTTTGCTTTAGAAATATTGTTTTGTACTAAAAACAATTTTAAAAAATTCGGAATAGATATTTTAGCTCTATGTATTCACCTAAGTGTAAAAAGGATTTCGTAGTTATAAACGATTACCATTACATATTATAAGCTAACTAACTAATACAAAACTGATAAGCAAAGTTTCTTGACTTAAAATGCACTCAAATAGACTTTTGGATCTATCTCACATTACTCAATTAATTTTGCACATTTCAGCATAAAATGCAAGTGTGAGCTAGACCAACTTGACCAGATACTTCATCACATTGGCTGCTGAAAGAACCTGTCATGTTACAATTACAAGGAGGACACATATTGTCGATGTCACCGTGTCCATCCTGAAAATAACGATATAAAGAGTAAATTCTTCAAGAGATTTTTCATGAGTATACTGTATACTACTCAGTAAGTACAGTAATTTACTTACTGTACCTTGCAGCGATCACACTGCATGCCAACATAGTTTTCATGACATTGGCAAGCACCGGTAGATATGTTGCAAATGGCTGATTGTGCACCCTTTAAATGACATCCACAAGGGCGGCATGACTTATCCATAGGATCCCCCCAATGATTCTCTTTACATTCTTCGCAGTGTTCTCCTGCTGTGTTATAAATGCATTTCAGACATTTGCCCGTTTCTCGATCACAATTTCCAATTGCCATTGGGTCAATGTTACCACTGCAATCACATAACTCACAGCTTCCATTCTTCGCCAGAGGATTTCCGTAGAAGCCATCAGCGCAACTATAATTAAAGTGCTTCTTTCTACTGCACATTTTAATATAAGAATGAACAAGAAGTGGTCAAGCAACTGTTTGAATTCTCTTCCAGCACAATAAAAATATTAACTTACATTTCGCATTTATTGCCATCATAGCCTTGCTCACAAGCTGTACACACGTAAGAGTCTTCCCCGTAAGCGGCTGCTGTGCCAACTACTAATTGAGTTAAAGTACATTGTGATGAATGATTATTTTCAATTGTTGGACAAGCACATGGATGACATTGTCCTAGTTCAGATCCTAATGAAGGATTTCCATAGTGTCCAGACAAGCACAAGTGACATCGACGACCAGTTGTATTGTGCTGCACAGCAAATAGCATTCAGAGTATGATTGTGATAAGCAGCACAAACTTTAAACTAATCTAATTTTACGACAAAACTAATTATTAATTAATGTAACAGATATTTTAGTTATTATTTTTCTAATTTATAAGCAATAGTAAAGTGAAATAAGCGACACTATAAGAAAGGAATTGAGTGCATAAGAGTTGAAAATAGAGAAATGTATATCTGATTCAATGATTTTCAATAAAGTTTTAGAGAATTTCGTACAAAATTGAAAATAGTTAAGTATAATATTAAAGTTTATTGAAACTCATAAGTATTGTCAATACAGAAAGATAAAGTGAGTTATATGAAAACGTTTTAATTTTAAAAATTTTGATACTAATAAGTGAAACGTTCATGTCACTCACTTGACAGTTGATACAATCACCTGTGAACGGATCACACTCATCTGAGTGTCCTTCACAATTGCATTTCTCGCAATGTCCATCATACAACTGATTATTTACTCTCCTATATCCAGAAATGCATCGCTGCAAAAAAGTTCTCAATAACATCATCAAAAATAAAAATTATGACAAAATCCAAATTGATTTTTATAAAATTTTTCAGTTTATAACACTTTTTTTTCAAAAGAATAACTCCAAAAAAGATATAAAAGAATTTATTTTCTGATAATAAAAATTATTTCACCTCACAACTATTACCAGCATAGTATTCAGGACATTCACACACTTCAACACCTCGCATGAGCACATCAGAAAATTGAGCAACTGCTGAAGTACTGTTTAAGTTGCTCTCCATTTCACTTTTAGCTTCTACTGCTGTATCTAATGTCATCCCATAAATGCTGAAATATATTTATTCAAATTTGAATAAATACAATAAATATGATAAAAAATACTTTAAAGAATTATATAATAAAACGAAAATGAATCAAATTAGTAGTAATTTCTAGAGTAATAATTACATTATTCGCTATATCACGCATTTTATTAGGAATAACGCGGCAATATATTTTTACAAGATATTAAGTTAAATATCTACTACAAACAAGTATTAAATGAGTGATCAGTAAATTATTCACCTTGACTGTATTTGGTCCTCACTGTACAAAGCGCGGACCATCATTGTATTAACATCAGCTAAAGCTCGCATCATATCCAGCTTATCAACACTAGTGCGCATATAAGAATTATACCATCCTTTACCTTCTTTCATTGGTATTTGTATGCTAATATTTTCCCTCGGAAAGAAATCTTGCTCGCTGTGGTACTCCAATTTCACCCCATTTCCCTATAGGACGAAGAAAAATGTAAATAAAACCAACAAATCCCGAAAAAAAGTTTGTCTTAGAAGTTTACATTGCCTAAACAAAAAATGCAAAATTAGTTATACTAACTTCTATAATAAAATCAGCAATAGGTGTACTGCCTTTCTTATCATCCATTGGTACAAAATATACATAATATTGCAAGTATCCACCATAACTGTTTAGCTGAAAAAAGTACTGATAACTTTAATCTTATAAATTATTTGAATATTTCCGCACTTAATCACAACACATTTTTCTACGCCGAAAAATTATCAATGCTACTGCATTTATGAACTTTTCTGACTTAATTCAACTTGAAAATTTCAACTCTTATTTCAACAAAAAAAGCAACCAAATTTCCATTCAATTCTTTTGGTGCTTTCCAGTAGACTAGCTTCTTGCTTTTCTCTTCGTTACTATTGTACATAAGTACTCCTTCAGCTTCTAATTTTGGTTCTTCAACTTTTTCCCCTAGTAAATCAGTAAGCATCCAACCTTTACTGCTTTTAATCTGTAAGTTCATTAGACCAAAAACACATTCGTAGAAATTTTAACATGAAAACAATAATAAATTGTTAATTAATCATACAAAAATCTTGCAAGATAATTAGAACTCTATAATAATTAGCAATGAAGCGGAATGATAAATCAATTAAATCCTAAACAGTTGATAATAATAATAATAAGTTGATTATAATAATAAATAGTTGACAATAATAAACATTTGATAATAATAGCAATAATAATGATAACAGTAATCAGTGCAACTTATAGTATTTTACGTGTAATGTACGTGCAAGAAAGTGCTAACAGATTTCAATCGAAATTTTGTATTAATACATTGCATAGCTAGCTATACCTGTCCTCGACTCCACTGCTTTTCATGACATTCTTTACTGAGACCAAAACAGAAACACGGCTGGCAACCATCTGGATTTTTTACATCCAAATTGATTGTACCTTTCTGTAAAATAATTTGCACAGATGACTATTTGCGTGTACAAAATTTTTGTATTGTTTGTGTTCCATGATATGATGAAGCGAAATTTCATTAGACTTTTGAGATTTGTTAAATTTAATAATATTATTATATACTTTTGATTTAATATTTAAGGATATTTTGAAGTCGATAAAAATAACATCAATATATATATTAATGAAACAAAAGTAAAAGCATGGATTTTAAAAATCGCAAATTTATTTTTCAAAAATCCTTTCTGAAATATTACTGCGATGAACTAATTAGCACTAAGTGTACCAGTTGAAAGTGCTCTATTTCTAATATTTATGAAAAAAAAATTTTTTTTAAATGAAAATAATTGAAGCAAACCTTGCATCGATCACAAAAAAGACCTTCAACATTGGCTTTACAAATGCAACTCTCTTCTTCGCAAGAATCAAAGTTGAGTGAACCTGAACGACTGCATGGACACGGTTCACACGTTGGATGGTTGCGATGCCCAGAAGCACATACATCACAGCGCCGACCACCAAATCCTGGCTTGCAGATGCAATCGCCTGGTTTCTGTAAACTATTGCTTCATTAGTCAAAACATCAATCATTGGATACTTAATGATACCCTATTTTGAGTTAAATTTAAATTAAAATTACATTCTTTTCATTCGATAAACTTTATATTAAAAATCGAATTTTACTTCAAAAAATTTTAAAATTTCTATTTGATTGGTAAAATCCGAAAGTAAATATATCAGATTGCAGTGTTAGAAATGTTTTCGTATCAAATTTTGACCTGATCTCCAACAGCACTTGTCTCATCTCGAACACAGTTGTTATGTTCGGAACCGATAGAGTCGCAATCACATGGTTGACATGCATCTTCGCGGTAATGCGTGACACCCGAAGGTCGAAAGTACGTCCATTTACAGCGCTCACAATTTATTCCATCAGTATTATGCTGAGATATTGAATGTTCATATTTTTGTGCAATTAAAGAATAATATTAATAGTTCGTCACAATAATAAATTCTATGATCATAATAAACAATCTTCAAAGAAATTATAATTTTTATACACAATTCATAAAAATAAATTTAGAATCATTTAAAAAAGAAAAATAAAGCACATGAAAGAATTTAAAAATGGTAACCTGACACTGAATACATCTTCCACCACCTTCAAAGATGCCCTCTGGAGAGACGCTTAAACCCAAACGTTCCACTTCTTCATCGTATTCACAGTGAGTCGCGTGGTTGAAACACTGACAAGCTAAATTAATCAAATCATTTTAAAAACTAATAAAAATTTAGTTGCTTAAATAAGCTTGCAAGTTACGTTGACATATATGAGGATCGGACTGTGTTCCTTGACGCCACGGAAGTTGATTAAAGAGTGGACAACACTGACCGCAAGATTCACCACACGTGTTATGGCGGCACTCACAGCGTGACTGCTACAAATCGTAAGTTTAATAATAAAAGTTTTCATCAAAATATGTTTATTTTAAGATTCGACATCTAATTTTCAAAACCAAACAAAAGCTGTCCATAAAATAAGACTTTATAAAATGAGTTAGGCTGGTTTCTTTTATGAGTTGACATACGGTTACCAATTTTCTATGCAGTTCCACACAGTATTACTAGTTTCGTTATATTTGATGATAAAAATTTACTCCAGTCACTGGGTCAGGTCGACAACTCTCAGCATGTCCATGACAGATGCACTGACCACCGATACTGATATCTTTAAGAGCATAAAAGTAACGTCTTGTAACTGAGTGATCTAATCTATGACTCTTATGACGACGATTGATAATCATTAAATCGGCATTTAATGTTCTTAAACTCATCAGACGTAAGCGTACGTATCGAGCTCGTGTGAACTGCTGAAATCATCTCTATTTGGGAGTTTTTTCAATTACTGGAAATTGATTTCATAGCTTGAAATTATCAAAGAAACCTGCAAAGTTTCAGATGCGGCTTCAGCAGTTGGTCTTCCATTAACGAGCGATGTATAAATTTCACCATTTTCAAGTGGATCAAGTTTTGAATAGTATGATGTGCAAATTACCTGTAATTTCTTTTTAAATTCAAAACTATTTTCTCACATAAACAGGAATTCCAAAAAGCTACAACTAATACTTGCAGCTAATTTTGAAGTATTGAATGAGTACCATTTTTAGTAATTTAAATAAAAGTATTACACCTCATCATCACGTGTAAATCTTGGAACACCAATGGTTGCAGGTATACCAAACTGTCGCATGCATTCTGCATCACTAACAGCGTAATATTGCCATGGTTGGTAAGTAACGCCATCGAGAGATTTTTCCAGTACCCAAGTCCCAGGACGTGGAGCAATCGCACTTTTCACAATCACGTACGCCACTTGGTATTCCTTAAAAGGATGCTTCACTTTTTTTATTGCTCAAATATTTTGTCGTTTTTAAAACAATATTTATCTGGTTTCTCAACCAATTATTTTAGCAAATTATAGTATCATAAAAATTTTGTGTATTCGCTATGACAAATTAAAAAAACCTTCATAACACAAGCTTTTTTGTAGACAAAAACGCCATATGATAGCCCGCAATTACAACAAATATGAAAGCAAGCGATAATTTAGAAATGCTACCTGTCGCAGGTCAATTGTAATATTGACCCGTTCGTATTCAAGTCCATTCGCTAATGATGGACTTTGCCACCAACGGCGAGTACCATCAATTGCGAACTCAATTGGATGACGTTTTTTGACGTCATTTGCGTCACATACATCACATTGAGGTTGCCTTATTGATAATTTTTATTTTTTATTAAATTAAATTTTTTTGGAAATACATGATATGATAGGGATATGATGAATTCAAACTAGGTGAAATCAAGACTGGACAACATTTAAGTATTGTAAAGATGATTCCGTTGAATTAGATTACATTTGAGCAGCTTGAAACTGGGATATGATGAATTCAAGCAATATTCAGCAGCTATTAGCATAGAAAAAATTTTAAATGACAAAAATTTTATTTAATCATTTATTTATTACAAATTAATTACCATATTACTAATATAACCAAATATAAGTTTTATTTTAATTAAAATTTATCAAATGGAACCTATTGAAGACGTGTTCTACTAATTTGCAATAAATTTCTCGATGATGCTGCCCACATGTCGCATCAGATTTTATCAGCGCATTTGTTGCCAAATTGAAAATTGTAGGAAAAAGGCCATGTTCTACCATATTAATTAATATTACAATAGAATAAATAAAATGTGGAGATTAGTTTTAATTTCTGCTTTATTGGGGTTCTGGCGTTGGATTAATATTGAAATGTAGTAGTTATAATTAATTTTTACAGTAAATATAAATTATAATAAAAGATAAAATACAATTACACGCTTACCTTCTTTACTAGAAGTAAATTCTTGGTAAGAGTAGTAATCTTGTTTTGTTCTGTAGGCGCTGATAATATTAGCAGCTATTAATATGATAAAAAAATTTGACGAAAAGGCTAAATAGCCCATCGTCTTTCTTTCTTCGTCTTGAAATCTGTAGAAACTAAACTATAGACTTTTTTTAGCTTAACGAAATAGCAAAATTATTTTATCAATATTTGCCTTTTCAAAATATTTAACACCAAATATAAATTTAAAAAAATAAGTAAACTTTGCTGATAAAATATGTTATATATTTGTTGAAAAGATTTGTTAGCACTTAAAATTGCATGCCTAAACAGTGAATATTCTGACATACATCATCACACTGAGGTTATCTATTAATAATTCTTGTTTTTTTATTCTATTTTTTATGAGCAAATGAAAATTTATGTAAATTATAATAAAAATTAATATTATTGCGAGAGGAAGAATAATTACAAATTAGCCAAAATTTGACGTATTAATTTACGTAAAATAATTGATAGTAAAG